GAGCAGCGGGCGGGTCAGGAGAGGTCTGCCGCGCCATGTGGTCACCTCCGGGACAGGCGGGGATCGAACTCATGCGGAAGTGGCCTAAGCTTCTTTGTGCTGTGCTCTAACCCGCTGCGCCACCAGGGAGGGCCTCTGCCAATATGTTTTTAAGGTTTAATGTGGTAGAAACATTCTTCTGTTTTTCCAATGTGCCCCCCCCCCAAAAAAAGCATTTAGTTTTTTACAAAGTTTTTGAAGGGATTATTTGGAATTTTTTAAAGTCCTTTTTCAAATAGACAGTGAAAGTTACTAAAATATCAGATTATAGAGACCCAGTGGCATGTACAGTTTCAACACTTGGTAGTCACAGAAGTCATGAAAATCTCTATTTCTGTTAGGTGACCCCGAAGTTGAGCAAGAAAACAAAACACAAAAAACACACCTCTACCTGCGTGCTGCCACCACTGGGTCAAAGGCCAGATCAACCTTTTGCATGAAAAAGAAATTTGAGAAAATACGAGCTGCTATCTCATTCCTATTCCTTCTTTCCCTGTAACTTTCTTCCACCGAAAAATAAATAACTCGCAGCCTAAATCTGGACTCAGACTCGACCTTAATGAAATCAGGTCGAAATGGCTTTTATGAACAGTGAAATAGAATCAGCTTCCTTATAGTTCTAAAACACGGTCTATGTTTGATCATCTGCAGTGTGTTAACCAACACTCGAAAGCTGTATAGTGCATGGGGGGGCATGTGACCATCCCATCCTATGTCAGTGGCCTTCTAAGGCAGTCTAGACTTCACGGGCGGAAAGACCGATGTGACTAACTTGCACACCCAGTTGCAGTTGCTACTGTCTCGAAATGCCCAGCAGAAATCCATGCCTCAGCTGCTGTGCACAGGTGAGAGCAGCAGCTGTCAGGAAGGCGCACCATTGTGGCCAAGGGTGGTTCGTCTCCTGCCCACTTTCTCTCTCGGCTCTTCCCTCTACCCAGAGTGCAGCGGGGGCCCTCTCTCTACAGCTCTCTGCCCGACCTCCGTGATTCACGTGATTCACGCAGAGTTCCATTCTCAAGGGGCGGGGTGGGGGGGGGACCCTGTACAGGCAAAGGTAGGGTGCTGCTTCCCCTTATCCCAACAGCGTGAGCCTTAACAGCTCCTGGTATTTAAAACTCTCCAATGAACCTTGACCTTCTTCAATCAAAGCAGCGCTTTAAACAGGAACTCTGCCACTTCACTGCGGTCCAAGCGCCAACAGGTTTCTCGCGTGTTTTAGCAAAGCCCACCATGCATACCGCGGACCTGCGAGAGGACAGTGTCTCTCCATTGACAACAGGGCTTGGGCGGTGGACAGGCCAGTCTCACCAGGGAGGTGGATGGTGCTACCCCCCAACATCATTTCCTCCCCATCCCCACAGGGGCCTCAGGTCCCCACTGTCCGCCTGCCATTTCTAAAGGTGGGGTTTCTTCACCCAAAGCAAGTGTGGACAGCAGGGTGGGGGGACTCTTACAAGGAAAAGGAGGCCCGTCCCCCAACACGCGGGCGCGCACACACACACACACACACACACACACGCTCCTTGGCAAAAACAAGAGTGGTTGTTAAGGCAGGCGCAAGTTGCTCCCCAAGCATGTCCTGAATGTGGGAGGCCATGCAGCTGCCTCCCCTTGAGACAGCCACAGGCTCCTGCCAGGGACCATAATGACTCGCGCCCTTGCCAGCTGTCACATTTTGCATGCCGCCGGAGCTCCGGTCCGAAGAAGGGCATCCAAGCCACCGGTTTCAAAGGGCGCCAAGCCCTGGGCCCATGCTGGGCCCTCATGGCCACCCGGAGCTCCCCCGGGGCTTCCCCAAGAGCACTCAGTGCAGGCTGCCCAAGCAAGCCGGGAGTCCTCCTGCCTCAGACCAAGCTGTGACAGGTGGAAACCAGTGGGAACCCTCAGAGACAACCCCAGAAAAGAGGGGCATTTGGGGGGAGGAGCAGCACACTGGTTTTTACATCTTTAATTCCGGGGGTGCCCTGACCTGTTCGTGGGGCACGTAGGGGTGCCACATAGGCCACTCTGCTCTAGATTCTACCTTGTCTTTATCATAACTGGTCCTCCTGCTGGCCCAGAGAGGCCACGGGGCTCCCCAGAAAGGATGTGGGCAGAGGAGGAAGCTGGAAGTTTACCCCAATTTAGCACATCAGCTACAGGGCAGTGGGGTGCTCTGGGGTGGGCGGACATTGCGGGGGGGGGGAACTAATGCAGGGGTTACAGAGGTGGTGCCTGGGAACCGTCTCTGCTGGACATGGCTGATGCCTGTCCGCTCAACCAGACAGGCGTGGTCCAGGCTGGTCGCCCAAGCCTTCCACCCGGTGCCTCACACTCCCCATCAGGGGCCTAGAGACTGGATCAAAATGGGGTGAATTCTGGAAGCTGATGCTTGTGGGGTCACTTTCCTTTCTTTCTGAAGGTGCTCTGTCAACCCCAGAAACCCACTCCCTCCAAGAACCTAATTTTCATCAACTACAGCAGGGATTTCTTTGTGTCTGGTTCACAGGGCTCCCTTGAAGACCAACAGCAACAGTGCCCCCCAAAAGTGTCTTATACTTATGGTTAACAATTCTAAAAGCCACATTTCCTCCTCGTTCTTTACAAAGCTGAAATATGCTAGCCAGAAAGCTTCACTACGCTTTCATCACACTGTAATAAAAATTCCCCATCACCTCTTTTACCATCTCGCTAGCTTTTAACACAAAAATTGCTCCATGGAACAGGGTAAACTATTTCATGTAGGACTTTTTTTCATTCGTTACTAAAATGCTTTTCATTATCTTGAAAAAAAAATGCTTTGAAAAGTAGATAGGACAAATGGTAAAATGATTATGAGGTGTCTGACATAGCTGCTTTCCAGACCATTCCTTTGGCCTCTCTCCTTACTGTCTAATACAGTGCCATGGAGGGGGTCAGCTCCTGCCTGCCAAGGCCTCTTAGTGCCCCCGACCCCAGTGAACCCCCAATACCACATCCTGTCAGGGCCCCCAGGATCACATGTCCATCCCTAGTAGGTTAGGTTCCTTCCCTCTTTATGAAACTTAGAGGAAACTCCTGGGCTCAAGCATTACTGGGAGTTTGCACATTTCAAGAGATGAGCCTGTGAGCAACTGAAGATTCTAGATCAACCCCTAAACAACCCCTAGAGGCAGCAACAGAGCATGCTGGGCTTTGGGAGGATACAGGAATGAAGGTGGCCCCTGCCTTCCAGATGAAGAGAGCAGAATGCAGAGCTGACTGCACCATCGAGGCTCTGCAGAAATCCATGCATGGGGCACCATGAGAGGGAGAGAGAAGACCTGGTGCTTCCTGGAAGAAAGGAGGGAAGGAAGGAATGTCAGAGCTGAGCCCCAGGCAAGGGAGTTAGAGGTTGGGGGGAGGGAGAGACAAGGGAACAGAGCTGCCCCGAAATCCGCAAGTGCAGTCTCGAGCTGAAGTCTGTTCCCATGGTGGAAAAGCTCTTCCGCAGCTTATGCCAGAGAGCAACTCAATTTCGATTGTAGCTGAACCTTAGCCATCCTGTGCCTTCTGCGCTGCCTCAGTGGATGGCCACCAGCTGCCCAAACCGCCAGGCACGTGGGGCGGTGGGAACTAACTCTCTAACTGATTGTAATCCGTCAAACTAAATAGCTCCTGGTGGCTGGTGGCTACTGTACTTGGGGGGGGGGGGTACCCAAGCCATCTTCCCCAGGCCGTGACAACAAGCCACAGCAGAAAGGGGTACAAGAAGCCACCATGGCCACTGACCAACACTATTGTGTTTGCAGAAAGGATGGACTCAGTCTCACCCTCAAAGGAGAGATGAGTGTGTGGGTGGTTTCTCCTCTCTGTTTAGTTTTGTTTTGTTTAGAAGAGGCCAGTTTCTGTGTGAGTTTTTCTTAAGCAAGTCACAGATAGAACAAACACAAGTCCCTTTTGGGGGAAAAAGAAGCCCAACACAAAAAGCTCCTGAGTCCCTAAAGAAGTTTTAATCAGAAGGTGGGGGAGGCGGTAGTGCCTGGCAGTAACATAGCCGAAGCTGCTGCTGACTGAGCCCAGACATGTAGTCTCCAATGTGGCAGGAAATCACCTGCTTGGAAGCAAGGTCTGTGCACCATCCTCTTAGCAGCATTATAGAAGTAGCCAAAAGGGAAACGCAAGGCCAGTATACAGCCATGGAGGAACGGATGATCAAATCGTGCTGTCTACACCCAGTGGAATACCCTTCAGCCCTAGAAAGGAAGGAAATCCCCACGTGTGCCACAAGGATGGGCCTTGAGGACATGGTGTTAAGTGACATGTAAAGGCGAATGCTGTATGATGTCACGTAAGTGAAGTAACTAGAGTAGTCAAATCCAGATCAAAGAATGCGGTGGCCTGCGGTGGCCGGAAGTGGGGCCAGAGGGGGGCGGCGGGGCGGTCGCTGGGGAATTGTGTAATGAGCACACAGCTTCACTTCGGCCAGGTGAAGAGTCTTCTGCATCTACAGTCGGACAGTATAACACCGTTGAACTGTACCTTGAAAATGGCTAAGATGGCAAACTTTATGGTAAGTATGTGTGACCCCAACTTAAAACAGCAAATATATGCACACACATACATATATGTACGTATACCGTATACCAAATATATATGCATGTATGTGTATGTATACCAAACGTGTATGTATGTATATGTATACACGCATGTCTACCAAAAAGTGCAGGCAGAGAGGAGGATTTAGCTACCCCAAAGGCCAACCCTTCCCCCCAAAAGGCGCTGGCTCCCCCTCCCTCCCCGGGGCCCGTCCTGTGACACTCGCGGGACGCTGACAATAACCTCCTTGAGCGGTGCCAGCGGCACCTCCGCGCGGCCCGGCTCGCGGGTAGCCAATGAGCAGGCGCCTGCGCCCAGCCTCGCGTCCCCATTGGCTGCGCCAGGCGGCCCCGCGCCCCGCAGGTTCCCAAGCGGGGTTTAAAGAGGTCGGGCGGGGGCCGCGGCCGGGCCTTCGGTTCCCCGCGCGCAGGTCCGCGGGGAGGGGCGGCCTGCCGCAGGGCCCACCCCGGGGCGTTCCTGAAGGGCGCCCTCGGCCGCCCCCACCGCCCCGCAGATGTACTATGCGGTTTCCCAGGCGCGCGTGAACGCGGCCCCCGCGACCATGCTGCGGCCACAGCGGCCGGGAGACGTGCAGCTCGGGGCCTCCCTGTACGAGCTGGTGGGCTACCGGCAGCCGCCCTGCTCCTCTTCCTCCACGTCCTCCGCCTCTGCCACGGCCCCCCTCCTCCCCAAGGCGACGCGCGAGAAGCCGGAGGTAACCGCGGAGCCGCCGGGCTCGGGAGCCGGGGCGGGCGCGCACGCAGGCGGCGGCTCCCGGGCAGAAGCCAAAGAAGAGCAGCAGCAGCAGCTGAGGCGTAAGATCAACAGCCGCGAGCGGAAGCGCATGCAGGACCTGAACCTGGCCATGGACGCGCTGCGCGAGGTCATCCTGCCCTACTCGGCGGCGCACTGCCAGGGCGCGCCGGGCCGCAAGCTCTCCAAGATCGCCACGCTGCTGCTCGCCCGCAACTACATCCTGCTGCTGGGCAGCTCGCTGCAGGAGCTGCGCCGCGCGCTGGGCGAGGGCGCCGG